CATGGACTCACAAACAAACACACACTCCCCCGACAGACGCGTTCACAGCACTTGCAGGTGCACCCCACACCTCACACACGTACTCAGGCAGATGGTCCCAGCTCCCATCAAAGTGCAGGCTGCACACAAACACACACACACATCCACCCTCAGATGCACAGTCACCCATGAACACACACACACACACACCCAGATGTACGGTGACCCGTGAACATACGTAGACCCCATGGACTCATACATCCACCCCCAGATGCACAATCACCTGTGAAAACACACACACACACACACACACACAGATGCACGGTCACCCGTGAACACACGTAGACCCCATGGACTCATACATCCACCCCCAGATGCACAGTCACTCGTGAAAACACACACACACACACACACACACACACACACACACACAAAGATGCAGTCACCCGTGAACACAGAGACCCACCCACAGACACCACGCACATGCTCACATGCACTCACGTGCACACAGACCCCACACTACACACCCCCAGGCTCACACACGCTCGAGGCCTTCCACGCACATGTTCACACACACTAACGTGCAGACTCTACACACAGAAACACACACACACTCATTCTCACAGTCACCCGTGTTCACACACTCGCTCTCACTCACATGTAAACGCTACACACACTCATTCTCACACCTCCACGTGCACTCACACACCCAAAGGTGCACATACACCACACACATACACACAAATATGCACACTCTCTCTCAGCCCTACCTGTCCAAGAGATTACCTGCGCTCTGCTCCAAGGGCAGTGGGGGTCCTGCCCCCTCTGTGGGAGTGATGAGACCCCGGCTCCGGGCCAGAATCCTTAGAACTGGTCCCCGAGAGCGTGGGGGGAAAAGGGGTACAGTGAGAGGAACGACCAGCAGGGGTGCAGAGATCCCACACGAGGGCCAGACGGCTGGGAGGAGGGGAGGGACAGACAGACCCGTACCCAGACAGTCAGCACTGGACACAAGGGCCATCCATCCAGAGGTGGGCCCTGAGCACACAGACCATCAAGACACATGGCCAAGGAAGACCCTGGATACATGGGCCTGACAGACAGACAGACAGACGAGGAAGACCCTGGATACATGGGCCTGACAGACAGACAGACAGACGAGGAAGACCCTGGATACATGGGCCTGACAGACAGACAGACAGACAGACAGACAGACAGACGAGGAGGACCCTGGACAAATAGCCATCCAGACAGACAGCTGAGGAGGGCTGAGGCCCAGAGGACAGGCAGACAGGAGGACAGGAGGCACGCACCATCCCTGGTGACCCCGGCCGCCACGTCCAGGACTCGGGCGCTCAGATCGCTCATGATTCCGTCCACGACTGCGTGATGCTTTAGGAACAGTGGGCGGATTACGCGCTGATACAGGATGTGGGACCCGTTCCACGGCCCGGGAATCATGCAGAACAAGAGGAAGGCGCACTGCGAGGGTGGGGTACAGGTGTCACGCTCAGGACCACAAGACACCCAGGACCCGATGGGATGGGCCTGGACCCTCCACGGGATGAACTGGGCCTCCCTCATCAGACCCCCTGGGGTGGGCCAGAGCCTCTATCAGACACCGTCTAGGGTGGCCTGGTTTACCCACTGGGAAGAGGCTGTGACTCCCCCCCTCACTCCACAAAAGGCAGGGCTGGGTCCCCCTCATCTCCCCCACATCTCTCTCTCTTCCAACCCCATCTCCAAACCCCCTTCTGCCCTGCATGTCCCCCTTCCCAGCATCTCAGGGACCCCACCTTGCCCACGAAGTAGAAAGGGCACCAGAATAGGAGGAGATCGCTGAAGAAGTCCACTACACCGAAGAGGCCGTACACCACCCAGTATGTGAGCCACAGTGTGTCGTCCTCTGTGCTTGGACTTTCGATAGCCTTGATTCTGCGGGGCCAGGGCCAGGGGCAGGGTGGGGCGGGGCCAGGTCAGGCTGTGGCCTTTCCCCAGCACAGCAGGCCCCCAGGAAGCGGGGTATGCCAAGCTCACCACCACCCTGCTCCCATCCTGCACCCAGGAATCACCTGAGGGGGTGGGCAAAGCCCCTCGCCGCCCGCCCCTCCCGCCCTGCATGCAGCCCGGGGTGGGGGGGAGGGGATCATGCAAATCTAGTAACCCTGCCCTTCACCCCAGGTATTATGCAAATAGCCGCCGCCCAGGCCCCGCCCTCCGCACAGGTGGGCGCGGTGAGGAAAGCCCCTCGGCTGGCCCTGACCCTCGCGGTCCCCTGCCCCGACTCACGAAGCATATGCGGGGTATGCAAACCCGATGAGATTGCACAGCAGAGCTGCCCCGTAGCCGAAAAGAAGATACAGGCTTAGGACGGTCGCGGCGCCTAGGAGAAGGGCAGGACGTGGGTACGGGCCAGGGACCCCCAGGTCTCCACCCAGCCTAGCTGGGTTAACGGGGGTGGGGGGCAGTCAGAGACTGATGAGGGGCGCTGGGAGGCAGCGACAGGGAGTGGACTGACTGACATCCCCAGAAGCTAGGGCTGCAGACCACTGAGTTTTTCATCTTCGCAGTCTTCCTCTCAGGACTGCAGACTGGTGCATCTGCAGAGCACCGTGTCCTCACCCACTCTGTGCAAGTGCACGATCGATCCCCGTCTCCAGACATTGCCCAGTGTCCCCAGGGGCAGAATCGCCCTAGCAAAGGGCCTCCAAGAGACTCTGATCCTCATAGCCCCCCCCCCAAAGGCATCTACAAGCCTCTGACTTCCTGCCACCCTGGGACACTGCCAATGAAACCACACACAGGGTAGGGAGGCTGTTTGTTGAGGGCTATCAAGTGGACAGTGACCCTCCGAGCAATAGGTCGGAACCCTGGCCTGTCTTGCCTTGCCATACCTGCCTTGTTCAAGTCCACTGTTGCTGTCAGTGTGTCACTCAGGTCCCTGAGGGTGGGTCACTCTTATGCGGACCCCCCTTTTCCCAGCAGAGGGGACAGAGAGGAGAGAATCATAGACGCTGGAAGGTCCTCCTGGCTTGCGCCCACTGACCCACAGGAAGGGTGACATGGGGTCTGCCCTTGACCACTGCAGCCCCTGTGGCTGGGTGGTGTCCCTGAGGGCAGCAAGTCCCCTATGAGAACCACGGACTTGTGGAGAATAAGAACCTTGGGGAACCTCAGCTTTGCCATTCCCTCACTCCAAGACACTCAAGTCCCTGTCTGCTGGGGCCTCAGTTTCCCTAGCTCTGCCTCCTAGGGTTGTGCTGGGCTCTCTCCACACATATTGCCTAGTGGACACAGACATGGCCCCAGACACAGGCCTAGGATACAGAGAGAGAGAGAAAGAGGGAGGGAGAGGGGGAGGGAAAGGGAGAGAGAGAGAGAGAGAGAGGAGAGAGGGAGGAAGACAGGGAGACTGGGGGGGGGGAGGAAGACAGAGAGAGAGAGACAAAGAGGGAGACAGAGAGAGGGAGAGGGGGAGAGAGAGGTAGTGGGAAAGAGAAAGGGAGATAGAGAGTGAGTGTGTGTGTGTGTGTAGGGTGAGGGCTAGCCAGCAGCCTGAGTTCTGAGAGCGGTAACCTTTGCATACCTCATGTGCTTGCTGTGTGTCTACCTCCTTTGAGGAGTGGCAGGCTAGGGGGGTTAAGGGGTGGGGGGAGCAGTGTGCACCTCCCCCTCCCCAGGCCTCTGTCAGTGACTAAAGGCCACTTCGCTGATCAAAGGGCAAAGCCCCAAATCCCTCCCCCTTCCTTCCCTCCCTGGCTCTAATCTGTCCTCAGAGGTTCAAGGTCAGGAGCAGCATATAGGAGCTGCCCACTCAGCCTAGGAAACACCTCTGGGCTCCCACGTCTTCTGAGACTGTTTCCCCACTGGTCACCTTCAGCACAGACCCAGAGCGATCAGGGAACACATGCTTACGTACATTCACTAACTGAGCTGGGTCTGGAGGGGGCAAGATGGGGGCCCCAAGTTCACCCCCCCTCGGCCCCTAAATCCCTCTTCCTGCAGCCTCAGCACAGGGAAGATGATCTTGAACTTAAGCCCCCAAGGCCTTGGTTCCCCCTCCCAGGGGGCCTCCCTCCAGGCTCTGTGGCCTAGCTGGCAGCAGGCACCAGGAAGTGGGAAGGGGCAGATGGGTAACTGCCCGGGGTAGGAACGTGGAAGCTACTAGGTGTTTTTTCAGAAACGTTCAGTAGAATTCCCAGTGCCCGTGGGCCCTTACTCCAGGGGCCCTTTCTGAAAGAAGTGGACACTGAAAAAAATGGAGAGCTGAAGACAGAGCATTTCAGAGAGTGACAGCAGACACAGGGAACTGGGGTGGAAATTAGGACCCCTGCCATGAACTGCTATCCAAGTTCTCAGCAACTGATACAAGAGTTGTCAAACAAGTCAATACTGACCCCAGGGGGTCTGAGCTCCAGCCAGAGGGAGGGGGGACAGCAAGCCATCGGGTGGAGACCTCCCAGCGCCCTGCCCCTCCTGCCCGCAGGGGACCTCGGAAACAGGACAGAGGTGAGACTCCTTCCAGGCAAGGGGGACGGGCAGGCAAGCCTCTCCTCCTCCCTGGGGGGACCCAGGACAACTGGAAGAACCGGACTTGTCCTGGCGGCCACCCAAGAGCACAGGGAGCAGAGGATGGCCTCCTGACCTGGCCAGGCACTGAGGGTGGGGAGCAGACGGAGGGGCTGCACGAGGAGGTGCCCTGGGCACGGGAGTGGGGAGCAGACGGAGGGGCTGCACGAGGAGGTGCCCTGGGCACGGGAGTGGGGGGCAGGCGTCGGGGCTGCACGAGGAGGTGCCCGGGGCACGGGAGTGGGGGGCAGGCGTCGGGGCTGCACGAGGAGGTGCCCTGGGCACTGCGGGTGGGGGGCAGTTGGCCCGGGCACTGCGGGGGTGGGGCAGGCGTCGGAATGCACGAGGAGGTGCCCCGCGAGGAGGCAGGGGCGCAGCTCGGGGAAGCCCCTTCCCCTGGACCTCGGTGGTCTCCCCTGGACAATGGGCAGCGGTGGGGCAGCTTCAGGACGCCATCCCCGGGATCTCGGCACGGCCGTCGGGGAAATGGAGTGATGGCCCCCAGCCCCCTTGATGGCTCACCCGCGGCCAAATAGCGCTTCTCGACACCGGTCCTGGCTTCGAGCGCTCCGAGCACCTCGGTTACTAGGTTCCTCCGTTCCAGCAGCTGTTCGAAGCGATGCCGTAGTGCGTCCATGGCAGCGGCGGCGAGTCCGGCAGCGCGAGCGTGAACTCCGCCCGCAGCTCACTGCCCGCCGCGATCTCCGGCTTTTTACCCAGCGTGGCCGGCCGGAGCGCTCCGCCCTCGAGCCCCGCCTCCGGCCAATGGACGGACAGGGCGGACAAAGGAGGTGGGGCCTGCCCCGTCTCCTCTGCCGCATTGCCCTCTGGCGGCCCGCGGCCGCCGCATCCGCCACACGACGGGCAAGGGGGTGGGGCGCGGCACCGATTGGCCGACCAGACTCAGTACGTCGCTGATTGGAGGGGAGGGGCCAAGGGGGCGGGGACGCATGCTGGGGGCGGAGCTTATGGGAGAAAAAAGGCGGGAGCTGATTGGAGAAACCTGAAACTAGAGGAGGGGTGAAACTAGAGGAGGGGTGAAGTTGCTCATAAAGGAGGCGGGACGCAAGGGGCGGGGCTAACGATAAAGAACAACTTGGATTGGACCCCGGATGAAGCCAGGTTCCTTCGACGAGGAGAGGCGCTTGGAAAAATGAGCAGCGCCGAAGAAAGGGGTGGGACCAGTTGAAGTAACAGTAAACAGGGTCCTGTGCGTCATGAGGTGTGGGTCACTGAGCAAATGAGGAAACTGAGAATCCAGTGAGTCTGTCCACGGAAGAGCCGGAGGAGTGTGTTCGTGTCTCCTCCATGGTCACCATTGGGTCTTTGAGAGAGAGGAGAGAGCCGCAAGGACTCCTGGGAGTTGAAGCCTACAGGGGTTGCTATGGCGCCAGAGGCGGGGCAGCGGGCGCCAGGGCCGTTTGACGGGGCGGAGCTCCGCCGGCCCCGCCCCCGCCAGGCCCCGCCCCCATGCGGCCCGCCGGGACTGCACTCTGGCTGTGCCTGGCCTTGGCCTTGGGCCTGACCCTCGTTGATCCCCTGGTTGTAGCGTGGGCCTCAGCCAGGGCTCCGATTTATGTCAACAGCTGGGCCGTGCGGGTGTCCCAGGGGAACCTCGAGGCCGATCGCTTAGCGCGCAAGTTTGGCTTCGTCAACTTGGGGCAGGTGGGAGGAACCCGGATGGATGGGATGGGGGAGCGAGCTGGATGACCTAAAGCCCCAGACAGCCCACAGAGTTGGTCATCCATACATCAGATGTCCAGACTTCCACCGCGGCCATCTGCCGTTCTGGGATGCCCAGGGGCCACCTGAACCCCACTTGGGCACCTGGTTGGGCGATGCGGGCATAGGGAACTTTTCCTCTGCTTTTGGCGGCGGCAGGTGGGAGGGCTCTCCAGCAGGGCACCCAAGTCCCAGGTATGCAGCTACCCTATATTCTCAGATCTTTCCTGATGGGGAGTACTTTCACCTGCGGCACCGGGGCGTCGCCCCACTCTCCCTGAACCCACACTGGGGTCACTGCCTGCGCCTGAAGAAAGATCCCAAGGTGAGCCCAGCCTGTACGCCATGTCCTTGGGGTTTGGATCACCTGTTGGTGAGCCAGCCACGTCCTGTCATTTTGGTCACTGCAACAATCCTCTCTGAGCTGCAGTTTTCTGTAAGATGGGGACCCAGTGTGGAAAAGCAGGTTACATTGGGCAAATGTGGTCATGAACTTGAATTTGCCTCTTCTGAAGGGCCAGGGGCCCCAGGTTGCCCAGTACAGAGGGGGAGACAGCTTTCCTGCCGACTGTCTAGTTTCTGGAAAGGAAGGAGAGGAACCGGCTCACATTACTAGAAAGGGAGCAGTTCCAGAGGGATGGACTGGCCTGAAGTCACCCAGTGAAGGGCTCAGCCCTGATGCCCAGGCCGGTGCACAAGCCCTCTGGGACCAGGTCCCTGTCCAGACAGCCTCAAGTGCCAGTTGGCTGGCTGGCTCTAGGAGGCCATGAGAGGCCAGTCCAAGATGTGGTCTGTGAGAGACAGGCCAGGATTTGCCACTGGATGGCGCACAAGGGACACAGAGAGGGAACTCGGGGGATCCCCAGCTGCAAGCCCATGGCAGTGAAGCCAACACAGCCCCTAACAGGTGCCACCTCGCCCCTCAGAAGCCTGCTCAGAATCAGGGAGGTGGTGGTCCCAATGGGGACGGGGACTGGTTTGGGGGTAGGAAGTGATGAAGATCAGAAATGATGCAGGAAAGAAGAGGGTAGTGTGGATTGATAAAGTACTTGTCCAGGCAGGCAGAACCAGCCATGGCCTGGGGACAGATGAGCCGGTGTTCATTGTGCCTGCAAGCAAAGCCAAAGCAGAAGGCGGGCTGGATGTGCAGGGCCTGCGGTGAGGGTGGTGACAGGGAGCCAGAGAGGGATTTAGCCAGGGCATGATGCTGCTGTCCAGAAAAAGGTGGTGAGGGCAGCGGGCAGCAGAGAAGATCATCACAGAGGGCAGGGGGAAGCATCGGGCTTTGGGAGTGACTCAAGAGGACCCAAGGAGCCCCAGACGCCCTGGACAGCAGCCCCCCTGCACTTGGTGGGTTGCAACCCCCATGGCTGAAGGCAGTGCCCCAGCAAGTGGGAGCCCACCAAACATAGGTAACTACCCCCCTGGACCCGCAGCCCTCCATTCCCCTTCCTGCCTGGCTCTGCTCATGGTCTGAGGACCCACCCCAGCTGGCAGGCCCCCACAGCCCACCAGCACAGCCCCTAACATGTGCTGCCAAAGCAGAGGGCACTCCCAGCAGGCAGCCCAGGGGGCCTGTGGCCAGGAAGTGGGCCGAGTGGGCTCACGTCCTGGGACTCCCCGGCCTGCAGGGCTCGGTGCGGTCAGAAGCGGCCAGGGAGGACAGAGCTGGCCCCTGGACCGCCCCAGTCCTGCTCGTGGCCTGCAGGTGCAGTGGTACGAGCAGCAGACTGCACGGCGCCGGGTGAAGCGCTCCCTGGCAGTGCCCACAGACCCCTGGTTCTCCAGACAGTGGTACATGGTGAGTGACCGGCAGGCTGGACTTGCACCGTGCTCTGCACCGTGCTCTGCCTCCCTGGGGGGGGGGGTGGCCAGGCCGGACCCCTACTGAGTTCTGCCCTCTCTATAGAACAACGAGGTGCAGCCTGACCTGAACATCCTGCAGGTGTGGGGCCAGGGCCTGACGGGCCAGGGCGTTGTGGTCTCGATCCTTGATGACGGAATCGAGAAGGACCACCCGGACCTCTCGCCCAACTATGTGAGCCTGTGGGGTAGGGAGAGCCTGAGACCCTATGTAGGAAGAGTCACGCCACAAATCCATGCCCACCTCCTTTCCCCAGGACCCTCTGGCCAGCTATGACTTCAACGACTATGACGCAGACCCTCAACCTCGATATTCGCCCAACAATGAGAATCGGTGAGCCAGGGTCCCTTGGGGCGTGGAGAGCAGGACTCTACCTTCTGGGTGCCCTCACCCTGATGTGCCCCTCACTCTGGCACTAGGCATGGAACCCGCTGTGCTGGAGAAGTGGTCGCCGCTGCCAACAATGGGGTCTGTGGCACTGGAGTGGCTTACAATGCCCGGATTGGAGGTACCAGGATCCCCGAGGTGCCATTCTGGGCAGGGGCAGCACACGGGGGCTGCAGGGTCAAGGGGAGACTCCTAGCATCCAGGTCCAAGCAGGCGATGCCAGGGCCCCAGGCTGGAGGATGGGGGGAACTGAGCCCATCCTGGACCCCTAAGTACTAGGGGGCACACTAAGAGAGCTGGCCCCAAGGGCCAGGCTTGGGCTATGATGGCGGGGAGCAGACAGCAAAGTCGGGGTGAATCCTGGACACGTGTGACATCATATGTGGCATGGGCTCCTGTGACAGGTCTCTGCTAAGATCGTGGGGGAGGTGAGGGCACATGGGCTCCAGCAGTCAGTGTGGGTTAAAGCCACAGTCACGTGGGGCAGGCACTGGCTGGCAGGACTGGGGTGTAGGCTTTAGGGGTACATACAGATGGGGCTCCTGCCTGTGGAGGTTCCTGCCATGGGTGCTGTGCAGCCTCGAGTGGGTACAGGACGAGCCCAGGGCAGTGGGTGCCAGCTCAGACGGTGGCTGTATGCACTGCACGTCCAGCAGTGGCAAGGCGGAGCCCAGGGGCTGAGGGGACACGGGGTGCAGGGCACTGGGCACAGAGCCCAGGGGCTGAGGGGGCACGGGGTGCCGGGCACCGGGCGCAGAGCCCAGGGGCTGAGGGGGCACGGGGTGCCGGGCACCGGGTGCAGAGCCCAGGGGCTGAGGGGGCACGGGGTGCAGGGCACCAGGCACCGGGCGCAGAGCGCAGAGCCCAGGGGCTGAGGGGGCACAGGGTGCAGGGCACCGGGCACCGGGTGCAGAGCCCAGGGGCTGAGGGGGCACGGGGTGCAGGGCACCGGGCACCGGGCGCAGAGCCCAGGGGCTGAGGGGGCACGGGGTGCAGGGCACCGGGCGCCGGGCGCAGAGCCCAGGGGCTGAGGGGGCACGGGGTGCCGGGCACCGGGCACCGGGGGCAGAGCCCAGGGGCTGAGGGGGCACGAGGTGCAGGGCACCGGGCGCAGAGCGGGGGGAAGCACAGGTCACCGGCCACAGGGCACCAGGCAGGCGCTGAGCCGGCGGGCCCACAGGCGTGCGCATGCTGGATGGCATCGTCACCGACGTGATTGAGGCCCAGTCACTGAGCTTGCAGCCCCAGCACATCCACATCTACAGCGCCAGCTGGGGCCCCGAGGATGACGGCCGCACCGTGGACGGGCCCGGGGTCCTAACACGGGAGGCCTTCCTGTGGGGTGTGACCAAGGTGCGCTGGGGCCGAGGTGCGAGTGGGGGCCCGGGGGGAGGCAGGGGGCGGGGGCGGCCGTCCCTGGCAGCGCCCACACATCCCGGCTTCCCCAGGGCCGCGGCGGGCTGGGCACCCTGTTCGTCTGGGCCTCGGGAAACGGCGGGCTGCACTACGACAACTGCAACTGTGATGGCTACACGAACAGCATCCACACCCTGTCGGTGGGTAGCACCACGCAGCAGGGACACGTGCCCTGGTACAGCGAGGCGTGCGCCTCCACCCTCACCACCACCTACAGCAGCGGCCTGGACACCGACGCGCAGATCGTAAGTGCCCACCACACCCCACTCCCTGGGACCCCTTCTCCCAGCGCCTGAGGTAGGCTGCCCTCCAGCCATGCCCCTCTGACTGCCCCCTGTCCCCTTCATCTCCCCGCCTGTCACTGTCCTCACTACTGCTCCTCCTGACCCTCTCTCACTGTGTCCTCTGATACCCCTCCTGACTGTCCTCCTTGTCCCCTCTACTGTCCCTTGTGTCCCCCATATTCTCTCACTTCTTCCCCTAGTCCCCTAACCTTTGCTCCCACCCCTCCATCATTCCTGTCCAGGACTCCCTCATCCCTTCCTGGTCTCCTTAGCACTTCCTCCACCTCTCCTCATGTCCCTGGACCCTTCCCTGGTCCCTCAGCTCTGCCCACATTCCCCTGACAGTGACCTCTCCACAATGGCCAGATGCTGACTTGAGGCCTACATTTATTCACATCACATCTCCCTTCACAATGAAATGAACTCCTGTGGCCCACAGGGCTGCGACCACCCTCACCCCCTTACCAGAGTCTTCTCTCTCCCACGTCTGGCTCCCTCCCAGTTCATGTTATTCACTGTACAGGATGTTCTTCCCGTCATACATCTGCTGACCTCTCTGCCTCCGGGCCGAAGTTGCCTCCAGGAAGCTTTCCCAGAATGCCCTCTCCCCAGACTGACACTTCCACCTCCTGTTCAAGCTCATGTCCTACTGCTGCCCCTGCTGGTATCTCTGGGGTCTTTCTTGAGGACACGAGGTCACGCCACAGAGCAGATCTCTCTCCGTGTGATCCCTGTGGCCCTTATAACACTCACACCGTCACAAAACCTGTTCCCATCTCCCAGTCCCTGGGCTTCCTCAGCACACACCAGGGAAGGGGAAGCGACTCTGAGCCCACACCCTCAGCACCGTCCCAGATCATAATTCTCTGCAGCAGTTTTAAGATTTCAAGTAGAGTCCCCATGCATCCCCACCAAGTCAAGACCAGTTCTGATTCCCAGTGTCCCCTGCCATCCGCTGTCCTCCCATGTCAAGACCAGTCCTGACTCCCAGTGTCTGTCGTCCCCCCCAGCCCAGCTCCAGAGCCCCAGGCCTACCTCCTGCAGGACCACTGGGTAGTCTCGAACCACCAGCCTGTCAGGGGTAGCTGAGTCCAAGCCCTTTGGTCACTCAGAGCCTTTTACGGAGACCCATGTGCACCTCCCTCCAAAGAGTTCCTCCTGCGGGACATTTGTGACAGTTGATGAACCAATATTAACACGTATTATTGACTAAAGTCCATAGTTTATGAGAGTCCCTGGTGGTACAAATGCTTAAACAGTAGGCTCTTAACTGAAAGATGGATGGTTCAGGTGCACCGACAGTTGACTCAGATCATAAACCCTGGCACTCTACATCCAAAGGGTCAGAAATGCAACATACCAAACCCACAACTTCCAGTCGATTCTGACGCAGCAATGCTACAGGATGGAGCAGACCTGCCCTCAGGTCCCCGGGGGTGCAGTCTTCACAGCATCCTCTACACAACCTCCTGATTCGCACGCAGCCATGCAGTCTAAGCCCGTGCACACCAGAACGCGCAAGATCCCAGCCGCTGAAAACCTGTGGAGCTTCCTTGGGCAAACTGTGTCCGTTCGTCCCTCACTCATCCCGAACGCCCAAAGCCCCTAGAGTTTCAGCTCCCAGAGTGTCTCCTGCAGCCAGCACGCGCGGGTCCCCTACCTGCTTCTCTGTCTGCCCGCAGGTCACCACGGACCTGCACCATCAGTGCACCGACAGGCACACAGGCACGTCCGCCTCGGCCCCGCTGGCCGCAGGCATGATCGCCCTGGCTCTGGAGGCCAAGTAGGTGACGGCCCCCGCCTCGTCCGGGCCCCCGAACGCCCCCTTGCTCACCTGCCTTGTCCCCTCAGCCCACATCTGACCTGGAGGGACATGCAGCACCTGGTGGTCCGCGGATCCAAGCCTGCGCAGCTGCAGGCGGAGGACTGGAGGACCAATGGCGTGGGCCGCCGAGGTGAGGGGGCGGGGCCAGCACGCCGGGGCGGGGCTTGTGGGGCAGAGCCGCCAGGTGCAGGGGGCGGGACCTGAGGGCAAGGAGTTAGGCCCGTGCAAGGGTGGGGTCTCTTCGGCAAGGTGGTGGTGAGGGGGCAGGTTCAAGGATGACTCTCCCCAGTGGCTCGGGCGGGGCGGTGTGGAGCAAAGCCTCCAAGCTACAGGAGCCAATCAGCCAATATGTGGCTGGGGCGGGGCCCTGGCGGGGCGGGGCCTACGGGGGAGGGTCTACAGGAGCCAATCAGCCAATATGTGACTAGGCCAGGGTCCCAATGGGGCGGAACCTACATGAAAGGGGCGGGGCCCTTGTGGGGGGGCCTACAGAAGGCAATCAGCCAATGTGTGACGAGGGTGAGGCTCTTGTGGGGCGGAGTCTATGGGGCAGGACCTGTAGGAGCCAATCAGCGATGTGCAGTGAGGTGGGGCCAGTGCGGAGGGAGGACACTTCAGGGGCTGAGAGCCTCTGGTGCCACTGACACCCTCCCTGTGCGTCACCAGTGAGCCATCACTACGGCTACGGCCTGCTGGATGCTGCCCTATTAGTGGACATGGCCCGCAACTGGCTGCCCACTGAGCCCCAGAGGAAATGCACTGTGAGAGTTGTGCACAAAGCCACGTGAGCGTCCAGCCCCAAACACCTGTCACGTCCTGGGGCCACTCCTACATTTCATGGCCTTTGTTGTGCCCCTGCTACCTCTCTTTGCCCAAACATCTAAGGCTTCCTCTGCTCTGTCCCCGCCTGCCTCCTTTGCATAAGCCTACCACCTCCCTAACCTCTCACCCCTTCACCTTCTCCACACCTGCTATCCTCCCCTCCCTCCACTCTGGCACCAGCATCATCTCCCCTGAGGCCTCCCTTTACCCATGTGTGAAAAGACAATGTGGATCCCCCCGCCTTGATCTCCCTAGCATCTCACCCCATCCCCTCCTCCCCTGCAGCATTATTCAGCCGCTGATGCACGTGCAGAAAAACGTGTTGGCCTGCAAGGGCCTCCCCAGCTACATTCGGTCCCTGGAGCACGTGCAGGTGAAGCTGTCGCTGTCCTACAGCCGCCGCGGTGACCTGGAGATCTCACTCATTAGCCCCATGGGCACCCATTCTACGCTGGTGGCCTGCAGGTAGCGCCCTGCCCCTTCGTGAACTGCCTCGTCCCCAGTCCTGGGACCCAACAGCAAAGGTGGGCCCTCCCTGCCATCCTGTCTGCTCCAGGCCCTTTGATAACAGCAGTCAAGGCTACAACAACTGGATCTTCATGTCTACTCACTTCTGGGATGAAGACCCTAAGGGCCTGTGGACCCTGATCCTGGAGAACAAGGGCTGCTATTTCAACACAGGTGAGATTCAGGCCGATTTGGGGCGGGGGACACTCCCACCTCCACCCTCAACCCCACTCTGGGCAGTCCAGGGGACACCGGCGCATTAAGGGCAGTGTTCACCTAGCAGGTGTGCAGGTACTGTATTTAGTAGGTATGCCTCACCTGGAAGACAGGTGTGCAGCCAGCGGGGAGATGCAGGTGTCTCCATACCTGGGAAGAGGCATCACTTACTAGCAAACTGAGAGACGGAAATGTGCGGCTAACTGGAGGCAAAGGCCTGGTCCTGTTACCCTGAGGAAGCAGTGTCCAGTGACGGAAACAGGAGCGAGTGTCCATGTCCCAGCCAAAGTAGATGATTAGTGATGGACATGGCCCTCGTCTGCATCCTCCCAGCCTGAGTGGAGGCTCCAGGAGGGGGACTGGTGGGGTCAATGGGTAGGGGGCAGTGGTAGCAATAATGTGGTCACCAACCCGTGGCTTTGTGCCTACGGCCCTGCCCAGGGACACTGTACCGCTACACGCTGCTGCTCTACGGGACAGCCGAGGACATGGCGGCAAGGTCCACGGGCTCCCAGGTGACCAGCAGTGCGTGTGTGCGGCGGGACACAGGGGCTGTGCCAGGGTGAGTGCCCGGCGCAGAGACCTCTTGCTGGGAGGCAGCAGTGGACAGTGTGCATGTGTGGCCTCTGGTGGGTGGGCTGGGCTGCAGGCCCCACCTCACCAGCGCCCATCCCTCTGGTCCCTCCACAGAATGTCACAGACCCACCTCCGTCCTGGGACACCTCTGCCTCTCATACTCCTGTCCTTGGGACTTGAGACATAGGCATCAGCCCCTGACTCCTGGGCCTGGGTGCCCTGCGGCTCTGCTCCAACTGCCACCCTTCCTGCTACAGCTGCTAAGGCAGCTCACCCCTCGACTGCCCCGCCCCCACACACCCCGGACCAGCCCCGAGGCTCCTGCTTGGCACCTGCCCCCCCCCGCCCCACCCCCTGCCTCCTGTGGCTGCCCAGCTCCATGGCTGCTATAGCCCAGCCCTGACCTTGCTGCTGGCCCTGCTGGCCATGGTCTTGGGGAGTCCAGTCCTCAGGAGGGTGTGGGCGCAGGATCCCATCAACCTGAGAGGACATTCCCGGCCTGGCGGTTGGTTACTGGCTGGACTCCGGTGACCCAGCTGTGAGACGCCTGGTGGCCAGTGGCCCACAAGGAAAGAACCAGCCCTGGAGGCCCTGGCCCTGCCGCCTGCCCCGGGCCAGGGTGGGCTGAAGGCCACGTGACTGGCAGCTCCTGGTGTGACAGAGAGGTCTTGTTAGGAAATGAGGATGGGTTGGGGTTGGGGCAGCAGCCTGGAATGGGACCATAAAATGTCCCCACACCGCAGGGCGTGGACAGTGGGTACCGCAGGACAAATTTTTCTGCCCCCAGAGTTTGCAAATAAAAGGTGAACAGAAGGTGGCATGTATAGTGTCTGCTTGGGGCATGACTGTCTCTGGTCAGGCCCCCCCGGCTTTCTCCCTCCTCAACATCTGCCCCCTGGGACTCAGGAGAGGCCTGAGGTTGGGATAGGAAAAGTAAGCGTTGACAAAGGTCTTCCGCATCTGGACCCTCCAGTGAGGTGGGGGATCCTTCATGTCTGCCTGCAGAGGGGGAGGTAGCTTCCACATCTGGCAGCTGTACATGTGGCTGGCTGAGTGTCTTCCCAGGTGTGGGTCAGGTCTCACTGGAGCAGGAACAGACTCATCCCCAGTGGGGACACTGAGCCCTCCCGAGGGGCCACAGGCCCCAAGGCTCTGCCAGACGTACTGAATGGGCTGAGGGCTGGGGGACGGGCTCTGTGGGGAACAGAGAATGAGGGGGCTTCTGCCAGGACCTGGGTTGGGCATGGGGCAGGATGATGCCTCCTGGATCCATCTAAGAAGGCAAAAGTAAGTCCCCAGTCCTGTCTGCACACCCAGAAACCCATTAAGCTGGACCCTAACTCTAGAGGCGGCCTGAGGTGGGGGGGTTGGTCTCTCACTGAGCCTAGGGAACCTGTCCTGCGAAGCAGGGTCCCCTCCACCCCGCCACCCCTGTCCACACTTGTCAGGGTCTTAAAGTTTGGAGGGCGAACTTGTCCCAGGCTGGGAGATGCTGAGAGGCACCCAGGCAGCAGTGACCGCAGGGTTGGCAGTAGCCAGCATTACTGTGTCCCCCGCCAGCTGCCAGGGCCCCTGACAAGGCAGTACCTGTGACCAGCCCTGGAGTCCACCGTGCTCAGAACACGGCCTCCAGCCTGGAACCCAGCTGAGTTCCGACTCACACTCATGCCTCACTCCCAAGAACAGGTGTCCGCAGAGGCGGCGCGAATCATCGCAAGAGCACAATTAAATGTTCAGGGAGGCCCAGTCTCAAGGCCTTTGCCCTGGAGTGTGCGGCCCCTTTAACAGAGGGCGGGACTTCGCAGTGAGGCAAGATGAGGGCGGAAGTGCGTCACATGCCTAAGGGGGCGGGGCGAGCGCGGCAGGAAGCGGAAGCGGCTGTTTGGGGTGCTGGCACCCCTTCCCGGGCCCACGTTAAGGTGCGGACTGGGACTGTGTTTTTCCGGGGAAACTGAGGCTGAGGTCCCGGAACTGACCCTGAAGCCCCGGGTCAGGTGTGGTCTCGAGGCCGGGGGGGGGAGGGGGCGGTCCTGGGGGCGGGGCTTACATGACCGAGTACGAGCCGGGGGCCCTCTGGGCAGTGCTCTCCGTGCGCCTGCAGGGGAGTGGGGGACACACTGGTCAACGCTCTATGTGCCCTTGCAGAGGAGTGGGGGACACGCTGGTCAGTGCTCCGTGTGCCTTTGCAGGGGAGGGGGGAAACGCTGGTCAGCGCTCTGTGTGCCCCTGCAGGGGAGTGGGGGACACGCTGTGCTGGTCAGCGATCCCGTGCCGCTGCAGGGGAGTGGGGGACACGCTGGTCAGCGCTCCGTGTGCCCCTGCAGGGGAGTGGGGGACACGCTGTGCTGGTCAGCGATCCCGTGCTGCTGCAGGGGAATGGGGGACAGGCTGGTCAGTGCTCTCCGTGCCGCTGCAGGGGAGTGGGGGACACGCTGGTCAGTGTTCCCTGTGTCCTTGCAGATATGGGCTCCAAGGCCAAGAAGCGCGTGGTGCTGCCCACGCGCCCAGCGCCCCCCACGGTGGAGCAGGTCCTGGAGGACGTGCGGGGGGCCCCGGCCACAGACCCGGTCTTCACCGCCTTGACCCCCGAAGGTAAGGGGAGCCTTAACCAAACAGTAAGCCGGCCTGGGCCCAGCAGCAGGCGGGTGAGCACAGCCTTGGGACCCCAGTCTTCAGTAGCAGGTCCTCTGAGCCTCCTGCCCTCCCTCAGCCTTTCCCCAGAGCACCCCAACAGGTGCCATCACCGAACCCCTTCAGGTGTTCTGCTTCTCAGAAACCCACCTGAGTCACTTTCTGGACCTGTTCCTCCACCCCCGCCTGTCATTAAAACTAGGGTCATTTTCAGGGTGTCATCTAGAACAGGACTCCCTGCTCCCCCAGCGCCCGTCAGGGACACTCCTGTCCCATGGACCTAAGGGGGAGGGAGGACACAGGATTGGAGCATTTGGACGTTCACCCAGACAAGCCTTGGAAGAAAAGCTTGGAAATCTTCTTCCAAAGAGTCTGCCGGCCTTGAGAATCCCGGGGAGGCAGGCAGTGCTTCCGGGGGGATTGTGTAACAAGACAGAGACCACGTGGGGCACAGATCTGCCTGAACATGCTGCAGCCACTGGGAGCCCACACCGATGCATCAGGTGTGACATAAAGTTTCATTGGCGCGTGTCTGCTGCCACTCATTGACATTAACTATGTCAGCAGCAACTGTGAGAGTTGGCACAGAGCCCGCTGCACAGCTGCAAACATTTACCGTCTGGCCTCTTGAGAACAAGCAGCCAAGCCCTGATCTGGAAGGCGGGGTCAGATCAGCTAAAGCACTGGACAAACAAGATAATAAGTTGGGTGAAGGCTGTGTTCTCTTGGCAAGGTTCATTCACTCACCCAGCACGTGTCCGCCCAGACCCTGACCCAGGTTCTGGGAGCAGTAACTGTAAAATTGTTGTTAGGCGTCATCAAGCCGACAGCAGCACGTGCGACTCTGTGAAGGGCAGATGGGATCCTTTCCCTGTCCTGTGTCACCATGTGATCTCTCCTGCTCAAACCTGTTGTCGCAGCGGCGGGGTCAGTCCACCTCTTCGAGGGTCTTCCTCTCTTGCCCTGACCCTCTCCTTTCCCTGCGTGATTTCTCTCTCCAGGGATTGGTTCCTCTTGGCAACACACTCACAGTTTGACCCTGCTGGCCTCTGCAGATCACCTGGTCTGCACTTCCTCCAGGACCGATTTCTGTGTCAGCAGTCCCAGTCTTCGCCAGCACCACAGTTCAAGAGCACTGAGTTGTTGTTTTTTTCTTCTGTCATCCTTGTTCATCGTCCAGCTTTCCTGTGCATATGAAGCAGGAGACAATTTCTGCTTTGGGTCAGGCCCACCCTACTCTTTAACTGACCATCCTTGCTCTTTAGAACTGTGGAGAGGTCTTTGACAGTGTGTTCTCCGATGGAAGACGCCCTTCATTTTCTGACTGCCGCCACCATATGTGTTCACTGTGGAGCCGAGTAAAATGAAATCGTTGACAACGTCAGTCTTTTCTCCGTCTGTCATGATGTTTCCTGTTGGTCCAGTGGGGCAAATTTTTGTTTTCTTGATGTTGACATGGGATCCATAGTGAAGGCTGGAGTCTTTGAACTTCTGTAGTTGCACTACAGCGAGGTTGTGTCATCTGTGTACTGCGGTTGTTGGTGAATCCTCCTCCAGTCCTGATGCCACATTCTTCATAGAGTCCAGCCTCTTGAATGGTCTGCTCGGCACAGAAATCACACACATGTGGAGGGAAACACAATCCTGACACACACTTCCTGATTTAAACCATGTGATGTCGTCCTGCTCTGTTCTGCCAGCTGCCTCTCGGTCTACACACAGGCTTCACATGAGTGCAGTGAAGTGCTCTGGGACTCCTGTTCTCCTCCGTGTCCGCCACAGAGGACCCCCACCATCAGGTGCCTTGGCGTTGTCCATAAAGCACAAGTCAGCCTCCTCCGGTGCTCAGCCAGGACCCCTCTGACATCAGCAGGGAGCCCTCATGCCATGCATGGCTTCTTCTGAATCCAGCTTGAATTTCTGGTCATTTCCTGTCGAAATTCCAACTGCTTTGAAATAATCAGCAGATTTTACCTGCCTGCGATATTAATGACGTTGGTGGATCAGCTGTTTGGGGGCTGGGATGAGACCCGGGTCTCTTGTAGACAGTGGCCAGGCCGCAGTCTTCTATATTCGTGCTATGACCGGTGAGCACGCCCAGGGCTGCAGCTGTTCACTCAGCACCTCACTTGGTATTCTGTCAGTTCCTGGGGCCTCATATTTCATGTGAGCATTGTGGTGGTTGAGCACCATCAGGTCGGAGCTGAGCCGTAGCTGACCCTCCAGTGGGTTTTCAGAGGCAGTTAACCACACGGGAGGAGATGCCCCATTCTCCCACGGAGCAGCTGGTGGCCTCAAACTGCGTGCCTTGGAAATTGCAGCACAGCTTCTTGACATGAGGCCACCGTTAAAGTCACGTCAAGAATCCTGGTGGTTCAAGTGATTAAGCAGCCGGCTGCTTGAGGGAGGGCAGTGCCTGACACGCACTGGGGCAGCTGTGCCTGTCATAGGGTGTCTGAAGGTCACTGGGTCAGCTGTGCCCGTCGCAGGGTCTCTGGAGGTCGCACTGGGGCAGCATCACATTTCCCAACAACCTGCCTGTGTTGTCACCAGGACTGACACTGTGACCCTGCGCTGCCCGCTCGGACCCCGCCTGGCTCCCCTCCAGCGTGAGGGAGAGCTGGGGAGAAGGAGGAATTTGGTTCTGGCCGGCTGGGACTCGTGCCTGGTGCTCGAGGGCACGCATGGCTGCCCAGTGCGTGATGTAGAGGGAGACTTCTCCATCGCTGGAAGGTTCTGTCACACAGGGCGTCATCCTGCACAGTGACCCACAAGTCCAGAGCTAAAATCCAGCCCTCTTCTAAAACTGCATCTAGTAGGCACCTGCTGTGTGCCTGGCCCCGGCTCAGCCTTCTAAAGGGGTCCCTGGGGGGTGTGAGAGGTTCAGTGCTAAGGAGATGATTGGCAGTTGGGGTCCTTCAAGGCCTGACGAGCTGACAGCTCAGCTGCCGTGAACCCTGCCCACAGCGTTCTGCCCTGAGCCCGCTGGGCGCAGGCCTGTGCTTCTCCTGGACCTTGGCTCACGGCAGTGACCAGAGTTTCTTGCCCCAGATTCTGCAGGTCCCGGCGGGAGGCCCGAGGACACAGAGGCGCGGTGGGAGCAGGTCTACCAGCAGAGCGTGGACTACGTGGCCACCACCCAGAGGCTGCAGCGGGCGGGCACAGATCTGCAGCGTCGGTGTGAGGACCTGCAGCGGGTGGGCACGGAGCTGGAGCGAGGTGTGGGGCAGGTGGTGCAGACGCCGCTGCCCGCAGCCAGCCCCGAGGGGTGACCTGGGGGCACTGAGGAGGAGCTGCTGGTCCCCTTCCCCAGCGCCCTGGGGTCCAGGCCCTCGTTGGCAGGGACAGAGACAAACTCCCCATCTCCATCGTGGGAATTCTCTGGGACGTCTTCACACCCGGCCCTCCGGACCAGAAGGGCCCAGCTCACCACGACATGGTCTCAGATCCTACTCTGGTCCAGGAGCCGGGACCAGGCTCCCTGTGACCAGCGGCCTGGCTGAGGCCAGTTGTGGAGACCCTAGGGACAGACTAGCAGATTGTTGGCAGGACCTCTGCCTGTGCATGGCTGTACCCCATCTGGTCAGATCTGCTCACTAGCCCCAAGCCTGAACCAAGGGTGACTCCCCCACCATGGCCCCCGCACCTTCACGTCCAGGGACATCTCACGGCTGCCACCTAGCCAGCATCTCAGCTCTTGGACACTTCCGCCCAGCCCCAGGCTCTGTGCCACGGCCACGGGCAGTCTCCATCCCCCACAGACATGGAGCTGACACGTAGCATCCGCCAGGGCAGCCACACCCGGGCTCCTGCGTCCATGCTCGGCTGCCCATGTGGCTGTGACCCTCAGGCTGCCCTGCTCTGACCGGGGGTGCTTCTGCCCGTCCCTGCTGTCCTGGGCCAGCACCTGTCCCCTCGCCTGCAGGTGGACCCAGAGCTCCCAGTGGAGTGCCCGCCGCCCCATCCTTCCTGCCCTCCCGCGGCTTCTCACACCCTAGCCCGCCTCCGTCTGCATCTGCGAGGCGCAGCAGGTTTTAGAGACTTCGGTGGAGCCATCGAGGCGTCACATGGTGGGAGGGGCCACGCACTGGGAGGGGCGGCTGGTGGGCACTGCTGCCAGCCTGGAATATCCGCAGTGCTGACCACGGGTGGTCCCAGCAGGTGCAGGGTACGAGAGCTGCCCCCAACTCCTGGGGAGCTGCCTCCTGTCCTTCCCTGCCTCCCCACTTCCCTCCTCCCAGAGCATCCCAATAAACTCCATCATCCAAATCCCTTCTTTGGCTCTGCTTCTGGGACCCCACCTGAGACACAGAGTTGCCAGTTTCTCAGGACTGCACGGTGTCAGCGCACCCCACTGCCCAGCTGTGCCAGGCACTGTGCAGACCACCCCCTCCGTACATGGGCCCCCCTCACCCAAGCGGCCAGGCCAGCTGCTACACGATGCAGCTGACAAGCTCCGGCCTCCAGCGTCCTGTGTCCCCTGCCACTCAGTTCCTGTTTCTCCTCCCTGCCCTGCGCTCTGCCCTCTGCCCACCTCAAGAACAGACAGGACGGCAGGCAGGAGTGGTGGCTGCGTGACCAGCATTTATTAAGGTGCACAGGTCCACCCGCCCACTCCTCCCTGGGCATGGGCAGGACTCGGGGTGCAGAAGACACGCTATTTACACATCCATTAATACTGAGAGGGGACCAGCGCAGTGGTGATGAGGTTGGGAACAGACAGACAAAGTTGGCGTGGTGGACGGGGTGAGGTATGTGTCGCCCTGAATCAGCCACCCAGCTGGTGGCGGACGGGGTTCTATCAGCCCTCGAGCCGAGGTCACTGGCTTGGGGTGCTGGAGACACAGGCCCAGAGACCTCGGGTTCTGGACCCCCTTGCTGGGGCCTGGAGAGGGTGATGGGTGGCCTGTGGTGACAACAGCATCCAGCGGGAGTGTGTCCTTCGGTTCCTAGGACATGGGCTGATTGTCCCCGGACACCCACCACGTGGGCTGGACTCTGAGGTGTGGTGCCTGCTGCCAGGGACAGACCAGGCATGGCATGGGCCAGCCAGCAGAGGGACGTGCCCTGGTGTGGGCCAGGCGAGGATGCATGTGTGCAAGTGACCAGCACATGGCCTCAGGCCCTGTCCTGCTTCTGAGAGGTAGTGCTGGGAGTGTCCCCATGGCCCACATGGGGAGACCGAGGCACCGTGACGGGTACCGTGGCACTGACGCTGCCAAATGCTCATGCCGTGTGCCAGGGCTGTGTCCTTCCCCACGCCTGGTGATGGGCTCGGCTATCAGCCCCAACCTCAGATGCACAAAGGCCCCTCAGAGACGCCCACTGGGGGGACATGAGCCCCACCGTGTCTTCAGAAGCATGACCAGCCTTGGGCAGCCTCAGACCCCAGGCCACACTCCAGGGCTCCCATCTGTTCTGTCATGTCCACAGACACTTCAGTCAGTTCTGCAAACACCCGCAGCCCGACACCAGGGCAGTTGAGGCGGTGAGGACCGGCGCTGGCCACACAGCAGGCCTGCTTGCTCCCTGCCCACAAACGTCATTCAGCCTGCAGTCAGCGTGGCCCGCCTGCACCTCTGTTCTGGAGGACCACATGGCTCGTGGTGGGTCCTGGGGACGCCCTTGTTCTGAGTCTACCTCCTCCCTCCGACCTGCCTGCCTGTGAACTCCCTGAAAGTGCCAAATGTCTGGCTCGGGGAGGCCAGCAGGACTCCTGTGTCCACTCTCCTGCTGTTCCTCTCTGGATCAGCCTTGCTTGTGGGGGTGCAAGGGGGGTCGTCTCGAGCACCTCCCCTTCATGGCAGCACCATTTCCTTTCAGAAGGGAGAACTTCTGCGGGAGGCTGTGACAGCAGACCCCCGTGTGAAGAGAGCGGTCCCCTCTGGAACATTCTAGGCTCCTACAGAAAAGAGGTTGCTGGATCTTTCTGCAGGAAGACACACTGAGGTGGGGACCCCCCACACCCACATTTTCTTATAACATGACCAAACCCCCCAGACCAGTGCTGTCCCCAGAAGCTTCACGATCCAGAAATGAGGGCAGGAGGACTGTGCCACCATGAAGATTTACAGCTGCTCTGCCACCCCCCCCCCAGGAGTGGAGTCCACACCTGGCGCCCTCCCCGTTCAAGGGCGCATAGGACCTCTGTGTCGGACGTTACCTCTCCTTGCCAGCCCGCCAGCTCCACACCAGCACGGCTGCTATAACCAGGGGCCGCCCTTCCCTTCCATGGGGCTCTGTTGTACCCCCACACCAAGCGCCAGGGCTCAGAATCCCAGCAAACAACCCCTAGAGCGCTCATTAGCAAATTACTTGGAGCCGTAATTAATTACCAGCTTCAGCACGGCACCCCGCTGGCAAGCTCCCCGCCCAGCCCATCCCCAGTGCCTCAGCCTGTCCTCTGCCACCAGCAGCAGAAGCAACAAGCTTGAGGCCCCAGCGGCTCCCGGCCATTAGCCAGAGGCGGCAGTGGTCTCGGTGTGCACCCTGGGCTGACCGATGGCCCCAGCGCCCCAGGCCCCTCAACCCCCGCGGCAGAAGCGACTGTTCAGGTGGAAGCTGCAAGGCTGAGAGAGAGGGCCGGGCCTCTGGGGGCGCTGCAGAGCGGACCCACGGGGCCTCGTGGCCAGGCCACAGGGCTGGGAGAGATTCTTCCAGAAGATTGACGGAGGCCGCTATTCCAGGAGGCCTGCAGGCGCCGCCGAAGGGGTTTTCTCCACCGCGGAGTCCGGAGTGGCGACGGCTGCCATAGGGCTGGGCACGTAGTTGAAGGGTGGCACCCGGGCCGCACGGCTGGGCGAGCCGTGGCGGCTGGCAGGGAAACCCCCCGTGGGCACGCCCAGACCCTCATGGGCAAAGGGCACGGCAGGCGGCGCCTTTGGCGGACTGAGACCGTCCACGTCGCTGCCCAGAGGGCCTGGGCCTCCCGGGCTCTGGGGCAGCTCCCTGCTCTCCAGGCTCGGAGACGTGCTGGAGTTGGTCTTGGCCGCCACGACGTCCTCAGTCTGAACTACAGCGTCGCTCGTCTTGCGTGGCGGAGTCCCTTCAGTCGCCCCCGCGCCCACCAGCGGTAGGGCAGAGGCGGGCAGCGTGCTGCGCAGGATGTGCGGTACGTCCTCATCGCGGATGCGCCTCCACGTGGTGCCAGGCGCGGCTACCCTGGGCAAGGCGCGCGCTTCGCCATCGCTGCCGCGGCGCGCACCGTCCCCTGGGGGCGCGGG